TTGGCCAGGTGAGGTTAGCTTTGGCTTGTTCTGTGTCTCTGATCTTTCAGTGTTCACCCCAATACCTGGCTCAGGTTTGAATTTATCAATAAGAACTTTTAAGATTCATGCTACATAGCACACTTATTCTACAATCATCTGTGATGACCAGAACATTTCATCCATCAAATTCAGTCTCTAATACCTGCTCTGATTAACACTTGAGTATGCATTTCAAAATAGTGATCCATCTTCCTTTTGCTAATACACTCTTCAGGCTGTGGTGTTCAGCAAGGTTTTCACTTTTCCTAATGATGCTATATTATTGCTTCTTTGGATTCACACTCACGTTACTTCTGTCATAGAACCAGATGCTACCCTAGCCCCCAGCCTGGTCCTGGGCTGTGTTCATAGCCATCCAATCTCTCTATTACATGGAGGCTTCTGACAGTTAAACTTGTCTCTACAGCAACTGGTCAAAGCCCTAACATTGGGAACTTCCCAAAAAAGAACTTCATGTCAAAGGAACTTTTGCCACACAGAGTCTTTTGCCAAGAATAACTTGAAAGTAGAAAGGTGCATGTCTGCTATTAGGAATAGATCTTCAGGCACTTTTAATTTTTTTGTCATTCATTTATTTTTAGACGGAGTCTCACTATGTACCTCTGGCTGGCCTTGAACTCACTACATAGACCAGGCTGACCTCAAACTCACATAGATTTGCCTGCCTCTGCCTCCCTAGTGCTGGGATTAAAGGTGTGCACTGTGGTCTCAAGCATATTTATGTGTAATGTAAAAAAACCAAAGGGGGTGGCAGCAGGAGGGGCCCTTGCTAACTGTGAGCACAAGACAAACACAAGGAGGGATCAGATGAATGGAAATCATTCTTTTCTGTTTTCATCTCCGGAGTGAGCAAGCCCTTGGCAACAGCACTAAAAGAATAAGCCTTCTGAACCAATCAGATTGTATTCTTTTTAGAACAGTTCTGGATGCCTCTGACATGTGGGTCCAAGACAAAGTCCTCCCCTCAAGTGTATAATGTCATCACTAAAAGCAAAAGCAAAATGAACTCCGACACACTCGATTTTTCTGTCTTCTCCCTACATGTATCATTTGGAAATCTCTCAAATGAAACAAAAAGTAAAACATTAAGCAAAGAGCAAAGAGTTCATCTAAATTCTGAGCGGTCACCACCAAAGGCACTCCATCTCAAAACAGTGTCTAGACAGCCCCTACCATATCAAAAGCCACAAGCCCTGCTGAGGACAACAGGATGTGAGTAAGGGGCTGGAGGCCAGGATGACATGGACAAAGAAGAATCCCAGGCACCTAACAGATAACAAACAACTTCGCCCCAGCGACTGAGCTTCATTTCAAAGGCATTCTAATGCAGTAGATCTGGACCCTGCAAGTCATTTTTATCTCTAGAGTTATTTGGATCACAGGGCTGCTAATGGGATGCAGGCAGAGAGAAGTCCTGTGGTCACCATTCTACAACAAATAAACCACTTTAACAACAGCAGCTGATAATGCCACAGACTATGACGGAGTTTGGCCCTCAGCACAGATGTGAGCGGGCTGGTCTGAATAATATCTTCCAAGTTCAGAGCTCAGGGAACAAATGGAGGGCACTGCAGTATGGAAATTAACCTACCCCTGAGGACTGCTACACCTCACTGGAGACTTGAAACAAGAGGGCCTTGTTCCACAATGCCAAGGATTCCATTTCTCAACTTGATTAGCACCATTTGAGCTCTTGGTAGAGATTTTCCTTTTGAAAATGCACTCTGGGAACCTTTCTGAGTGTTTTAAAACTGGAAAGAATAAAGCAAAGGAGAAGAGATACAGATCTCGGGTGACAGCAACAGAGAGGCCCTTCTGTCCCCAGGGATTGAATTCAACTGGAGCCATAGAAAAGCAACAATCTCAAGAGATGTTCGGCTTCACTTATTAAAATAGGGCTTCTTGGGTAGTCATCCAGCTTCATCAAACAGACAGACAGAATGCTTGATTCTTACCAGTATAGCTATCTAGAAATCTAATTGACACAGTCATCTGGTTTTCCCAGTGGGTTCTTGAAAGGTGAGAAGGGAGCAGGTCTGTCTGTTGATTTGTCCCCATGCTTCACATTGCATCTTCTTGTTCAAGGGCCACGTCCAGAAGCCCACTGGAGAGAGAAGTCTAGTTGCTAAGGAGACCACAGGATTGTTTCTGTTCCTGAGCCCATACTTCATTACTTCATTCAGTAAATGCTACTGAGTACCTACTGTTTGCCAAGTGCTATTTTAGGTGCCAGGACTACCTCCATGAAAAAAAGTAAACATAATTTGGGGAGAGTAGAGACAGGCAAACAATCACCAATGACTGTAATTACTGAATTACAGTTTGTTGTAAAGAGTCGAATGCTGGGTTGGGTGATGGCCTAGTGGATAAAGCACTTGTCACATAAATATGAGGATCCTAGTTAGGGGCCCCCCAAACCCACAGGAAAGCTGGGTAGGAGTGGTGGCTTGCCTATTACCCTAGCACTTGGAGGTGTAGACAGGGGCAAGCTGGTTAGCCCTGGTTTCATCAAGAGATCCTGACTCAATAAAGTGAAGTGCAATGAAGGAAGATACCCAATGTCAACCACAGTGAAGGAAGATACCCAAAATCAACCGCAACGAAGGAAGATACCCAAAGTTAACCACAATGAAGGAAGATTCTAAAAGTCAACCACAATGAAGGAAGATACCCAAAGTCAACCACAATGAAGGAAGATACCCAAAGTCAACCGCAATGAAGGAAGATATCCAAAGTCAACCACTAGCCTTCACATGCACACCAAACATACATAGGCAAAATAACAATAAAAAAGAATGATGCCCTGCAGATGATAGTATCAGCTAGAGTTAATGATCACATGGTATTGCCTATATCCCGATTTTTTTTTTTAAATTTTATTTACTATCTGGTCAATTTTTTCATCACAACAAAACCACAAGGCAATTACTCCTCTAACCTGTACTTTATAGATGAAGCAATAAAGACACAAAAGTGTGAATTTGTCCAAGATCACCCTACAGGTAAATAATAGAGAGGGGATCGCTTGTTGAGTAAGCTTCTAACATTATACAACCAGTTTCCCCCATAAGAATTCTGAAGGAAATACGCCGAGCCCTCCGAGGTCCTTTTACTCAAAGCTTTCACACAGTGTTGGCTGGGGAAGCCTACACAAGCAGCGTGTGTGCAATCAAGGAGGCTAGACATTAGGTCCTTTTACAACGCAGAAAAACATACGCTTCCTGATTCATGGATTACTTCTAGTCCCTTTTGGATCCCTTGTCAGCCATCTTGGATTACTTCCCTCTTCATAGGCTCTCCCACAGCGGTAACTGCGGTGAGACAGTAGATAACACAAAGCTGATTAACATATGACTTCGGGTCTCCTAAGCAAGGGAGTTGAAGAAATGTGACTCATATGATGAGGTTAAAATCAGGTATTTGTAGCATGAATCTTAAACAGTCTTATTAATAAAAACAAAGAAGACCAGAGAAGCAGAACAAGTCACAGCCACCTCACCTCACCAATTCCTCAGCTGAACCTATTTCCTCAGACTGAGTCCTCATCCAAATGGATCTCAGCTGAACTGCTACTCACAGCCTGAAACCTTAACCAGCCTCTAGTTCACCATTTTCATGCCTTGTATACCTTTCTGCTTTCTGCCATCACTTCCTGGGATTAAAGGCTCTTGTTACCACGCCTAGCTGTTTCCAGTGTGGTTTTGAACTCATAGAGATCCAGATGTATCTCTGCCTCTGGAATGCTAGGATTAAAAGCGTGTGCTACAATTGCTTAACCTCTATGTTTAATATTGTGGCTGTTCTGTTCTCTGACCCCAGATAAGTTTACTAGGGTACACAATACACAGGCATTGGCTCTGAAATTTCTGTCAGTTCTCTAGAGTTTCATTTTAGTACATCGACTATGCCGATAGTTATAATACCCCTGTACTACATTTTCATCCTCACTGCCCTCTCCAAGTTTGTATTTATTTTAGAAAGCAGAATGTCTTGTGTATCTTTCATCTCAGGCTTTCTCTAGGAGATGGGCAATGACTGAATCCATACAGTAACTTGGTCAGAGGAAGCTCCTAGCCTTGGGTAAGTTGTGGTTTGAATTAGGTGGTCCACATCGTGTAGACACCACATATAGAAAGCTTTGTAATGAGGTCCTTCTTCATGTTCATCCACCACCATCAGTCAGCAGTGTAAGATTTTAACCTTTTTGTGTCCTAGTTGGAGTTAGCTAGAAACTTCTTTCTAGTGGCTTACAAGGCTGTGGATTTGTTTGCTAGCTACAGATCACCATGTTTACTGATCACTGACTGAACTACAATTATCATAGGTAAAGCACTTCACATGTCATGTCACCTTGATGTCTCATAGTGGTCCAAATGGTGGGCGTTGTTACCTTTGATTTACAAAGGGCAAAGAGGAGACTTAAAGACATGGGTTTGCCAATGTCTTATGTGTAGAACAGATGGGTATTCACTATACATAGGGAAATAGACTTAAAATGAGTTAGTCAGGCTGGGGAGGTGGCTCAGTAGACAGAAGCGTTTACTGTACAAACATGAGGGCCCAGGTTCAAGCCTCTAGCATCCTCTTATAAAGCTGAGCACGGTTGAATGTGCCTGCAATGCTGATCTTCAGGTTCAGGAGAGACCCTGTCTCAAGAGAAAGTGGGAAGTGATAGAGAAGGGCGCCCGACACCCTCCTTTGCCCTCCCCAAGCCACGCTTTCATGCCTGCTCAGGTATTACTGTGAATTCTTTATCGCATAGCTCACACACAGCAGGGACTGAGTAGGATTTCCTCAGTTTATTACTTAGCAACCTGCTGGTTTAATCTATCAGTGGTGTATGGTGTCTTTTTACAGTATCTAAGAGGCACACAAAATTGCCCCTGAGTTCAGAGGCATCGTGTTCACCCAAGCTGCCAACGCAGTATCAAATCACCTGCCGTCACCCAGCGACATACCTGCAAGATGCAGCTCATGATGTCAGACGCAATTTTTGCATGTGGAGTATCTTCGTCTTTCCCTGCAGGTCTCAGGTTGTGTTCCAAGCAGGAATCCCACAGTCCCACCAGGGCCCTGGCATGCTTTTCAATAGATTCCGTCTCTCTGATGGCTGTTGTGATCCTTGTGATACAGATTTCAACCACTGCCTGGTCATTATTATTAGTTTGGTAATCCTATTTAAAAAGAAAACCTCCGAGTTAATAAGCAGCCTAGGAAGTTGTCCTTCAAAGGAAGCAGTAATGAGTCATTTTGAAAATGCCGGGTGTCAGGTCACCGTGTGCTGAGGAGCCAGGCTGTAAAGCCCTTTACAGTTGGCCTTCCTCTTGTGGAAGAGGCAGGACATCCACCCAAGTACCTGCTGTCACTAACAAAAGGGAAGGTGACAGCTGGCCAGAGGAGCGGGATCATTAGTGTGCAAGCAGGTGACTCTTCAGGCCATTTCAGTTCCAAGTCCATACAAGATTAGAAGTTACTTTTTTTTACAGTGATGTTTTAGTCACGTGTATGGAAAAAATTCACATTGCTTTATAATTCTCCCTTATTAGCTCTTTTTCAGAATCCAGTAGAACACAGCGTTTCATTGCTTCCTTTTCAAGTCAAATAAGTAACAAACCCAGGTTAGCTTTTCCCACCCAAATTTCCTTCCATCTCCCTGTCTTAATTACCTTCCAAATACGTCATCATCTTTACTAAGAAAAAAAATATGATTCCTTACAATTTTTAAATGTGAAAAAAACCAACATATACAATAAAAATGCTTATTGCTTTGAGTTGGAAAGTGGGTCTGACTGAACACCACACCAGGGGTCTCACAGAACGGGAGACTCTAAGTAGACAAGGGTTCAGATGCCCGCACCGGGGGTCTCACAGAACGGGAGACTCTAAGTAGACAAGGGTTCAGATGCCCGCACCACGGGTCTCACAGAACAGGAGACTCTAAGTAGACAAGCGTTCAGATGCCCGCACCGGGGGTCTCAGAACGGGAGACTCTAAGTAGACAAGCGTTCAGATGCCCGCACCGGGGTCTCACAGAACGGGAGACTCTAAGTAAACAAGCATTCAGTTGGCCAACTAGGAGTTCTCACTCCTAACATTATGTTTTACTAGTGTTATAATGGGGGCAATAAACAGCTTGAAACTGTATCTACACTGTGATTACCTGTAGCCCAGATTTCTTTCTCCACAAGAGTAATTTTCTGAGGCAAAGGACAGGAATAATTTTGAGGATCCTACTACATACCACTAAACAACCTTCCAGAAAGATCTTACTAATTTAAACTCCCATTGTCTGGGTGAAAATATAATCTCTTCATCGTGCTTTTGCAGGAACCAAAGCATCTTTAATCTTTGCTAATTTGATCAGTAGAAAACAGTATCTCATTACTGGTTGGCATAGGTACTTTCTTAAATAAAAGCGAGAATGCCTCTTCATGTGTTTATTGGCCATTTGCGTTTCCTCCATTGGGAACCGGGCAATGAGTGTTAAGTCATTTTTCCTAAGCTGACTTCATTTTCTTTGTTTTCCTCTTTTGGAAGACTATTTTCTCCTACTAAGGATATTAAGGCAACATTTGAGCTATAAATCTGCTCATGTTTTATCATTCCTTTTCAAAATTGCTGTTTATTAACAGACTAAGAGTTTTAGACAGTTAAATCAATCAAGCTTTTGAGTTTTGTGTGGTGGTATTGTGTTCCCCAAAATATTGTGTACCCTAATAAACTTATCTGGTGTCAGAGAACAGACAGCCACTAGATACAGAGGCTAGAAAATGGTGGCACTCACACCTTTAATCCTAGCATTCCAGAGACAGAAATCCCTCTGGATCTCTGTGAGTTCAAGGCTACATTGGAAATGGCCAGGCATGGTGACACACGCCTTTAATCCCAGAAAGCGAGCCTGAGGAAACAAGACTAGCTGAGAAGTTGGCCAGGTGAGGAAACAAGACTAGCTGAGAAGTTGGCTAGGTGAGGTTAGCTGTGGCTTGTTCTGTCTCTCTGACCTTCCAGTATTCACCCCAATAACTGGCCTCAGGTTTGATTTTATTAATAAGAACTTTGAAGATTCATGCTACAGTTTTGTATTTTTTTCCTGTTCTGGAATGAATAATCTTTTGTACACTGTGAAGATGTGTCACTCTGGTTGGTTTAATAAAAAGCTGGACAGCCAATTTTTAGAATGGCAATACAAATTTTGACAAAAAGTGTTTTAGGTATAAAACTTTGGACTATGATAGGATAAATAATACAGTACTTTCTCCAAATTTACCAAATACAAATGGACTAGACATTGTAAATGTAATTCTTATCTGATAATTGTTCTTATTGTATATAGTTTTACTGTGTTAGAGTTAAAACCTTTCCTTTTTATTTAGACAAAAGGGGGAAATGTTATGGAATAATCATTTTGCAAACAGTGAAGATGTATCACTCTGGTTGGTTTAATAAAAAGCTGAACAGCCAATAACTAGGTAGGATTTTTGTGGCAGAGAGAACATGGGAAGAAGAATGTGGGGTAGCCAGCCAGATGCAGAGAAAGCAGATGTACAGGAGAGCTAACAGCCACCAGTCACATGGCAGGATGTAAACTAATAAATATGGGTTAATTTAAGTTATAAGAACTAGTTAGAAACAGCCTAAGCTATTGGCCAATTTCATAATTTATAATAAGTCTCTGTGTTGTGATTTGGGAGCTGGCCAGTGGGACAGAAAAATTCACCTACAATTTTCCTTCTAAAATTAGAAACTTAAACCATTTAAACTTTTAGATATAAATCTTTTCAGGTGTCCCACATGCGTGTACATCCATGCAACACATAAGTGCCTGAAGAGGACAGAGAAGATATCAGATCCCCTAGGACTGGAGTTATAGATGGTTATGATCTGCCACATTGGGGCTGGAATCCAAACCTCAGTCCTCTGGAAGAATAATGAGTGCTCTTAACCACTGAGCCATTAATTAAATTGATTTCCATTCATTTAAAAGTCAAGGCATAGACACGGTACAAAAGATGTAGAAAACGAGCTGACAGTGCAGGGCGGAGCCCCATAAGCCCTGTTAGCCCTGTTCCTCAACCCCAGTTCCCCTCCCCAGTGGAGACGTGTTCCCCAGTGCCTTGTGTTTCACAAGGGCATCTCAGCAACTCAGAAACCGTTCACCTTCTTTGTGTGTGAATCCTTTCACTGCATCTCAAACGTAATTTCTAATTTTAATTTCACGTGTGTGAATGTTTTGCCCGCATGTATGTCTGCGCAGCACTTCTGTGCCTGGTGCTCACGGAGGCCAGAGGAGGGCGCTGCACGGGTTCTCCGGAACTAGAGTCAGGCGTGGTTGTGGGCTACCCCGTGGGTGCTGGGAACTGAACCTGGGTCTTCAGAAAAGGCAGCCAGTGCTCTCAACTTGGCTCCATCCCCCACAAATAACGAAATGTACACAGATTGTCAGAATTATAGGATAGTGGATTAAGTTTGGTGTATATAAAAATCACACAAAAAAAATTGTATTAAGGGTCAGTGAGACGGCTAAGCGGGAAAGCACTTACTGACCTAATGATCTGAGTTCAGCCCTGGACTCATGGAAAGTGGAAGGAGAGAATGGATTATAAAAAGTTGTCCTCTGACTTTCACACATATGCTCACTCCTACCACATCCATCATACATACAACGCGAACAAATAAAGTAATTGTGTTACATTCACCTGAAAAAAGTAGAAAAAACTTTTTTTAAAAATGTCATCTTTAGCCCTACCTAAGAATATCTAGTGCCTCCACATTTAGAGAAAGATGCACCTTACTGTAATAGTGCTCTAGGAGGCTCTGTTCCCACCTCCCATGTGGCAGCCCACAACCATTCATAGCTCCAGGTCCAGAGACTCCAGTGCCCTCCTCTCGCCTCCATGAGCACCAGGCATGAAGGCGTTGCACAGACATACATGCGGGAGAGAAAACATTAGGAGAATAAAACCACACAGTTTTGTACAAAAGGTATGAAAGAAGCCTGAAGTCAGTGGATGGTAATGCCGTATCTCCAGAAATGAAAGCACTGTCATTGTGGTGCTCTTTTTTTTTTTTTTTTTTTTTTTTCAGGTTAGTTTATAGGTACAAAGAATTTCCAATCAGCATTTTCTCAGAATCCTGAGAAACATGAATATCTAAACACAAAACTCTTAGAGAGTAAGACCAACCTAGAGCAGATTTGGGGTACGCTTGTCTTACCAGGCTTACACAGTAAGGGACAAGCTGCATTCTGGAATGCTAGATGTACAGCATGCATAAGTGACAAAGAATCAGTGTAAGAACCGAAAAGAACATCAAAGCCCTTTGAAAGAGAACAAGCCAGCTGTGGTGCTGCACACCTGTAATCCTAGAACCTGAGACGCTGGGACAACAGAATCTAGTTCCAGTCTACTTGGACTCCACAGACAGTGCTCGGCCAGCCTTACTCTGTAGAGTAGGACCCTGTCTCAATACCCCTCCCTACAACAAAGGAGAAAGAGAAAGCAGATAACTAGAAACAGCACTTTCTACAACCCCGAGTGGTAAGTACCACATGAACACATGAAAAATAGTTGCCCTCACTAGTAATGAGCTACCGGTCTAGTTAGCATTTGCACACTGCTTCACTACACTTATTTAGATCACATGAGTTTTAACATCTGACAGGTGCAGGAACTGATGAAGAGAGCAGCCAGAACCTTCTTCACACACCCTTCACATTAGAAAGCGACTTGGTGCATATTATAATACTGGAAGTTCGAGGATTTCTAAATCCAGTCGTTTTACTTTATACTGAGAACCTGTGAAGCGCATATTTGCCAAAATAATCAATGACAAGAATGTTTCCTGTAGCACTATTTAAGTAGTGAAAGTCGATCAAAAATGAGAATGGGTAAATAAATAGTGGTATGTTCATATAATGGAATGTTACATCCACTAAATGAATGAAACTACATGTACCAAGCTAGATAAATTAAAAATAGCATCAAAGCTATGACAGCATTTATATGAAGTTTAAAACCTTTTCTAGTTTTTATATACTTTTTATATACTTCTAAGGTTCTCAGTATAAAGAAAAACAACTGGCTTCAGAGATCTGTGCATTTCAGATATTATGATACACATCAAATAGCTTGAAAATTTTTCTAGTTTTTAAGCATTATATAAAAGTATAATATGA